ACATTCACTTTTTTAATTGTAATTTTCAAGCAAGTTTAAGCATAAATGTAGAAAACAAAACAACCTGCAAGATGCTCTTTAAGTTCAAGACGGAACTTCAACTGAAATCCCTTGCTCTGCACAACTCAGACATTTAAGGCAAACATGCAGATGAAGGTCTTTTATATGTCGTAGTGAAGCAGCTGTGATGCAGACCCTGCAGCGATCAGTTTGGTCCAGACCAGGTTTCTCACTTTCTGTAATTAGTTTAGTACAAGCCTGAGGGGAAGTCTGAAAATGGGTCTAATTAGAAGAATCAAGTTGGATCAGCAAAACTCTGGAGAGACATAAAACACACACACACACACACACACACACACACACACACACACACACACACACACACACACACACACAATGTAAAGATGACTGAGGTGGACAATGTGCTAGTTGGCTCAGATAAAATCAGTTTTGAGTTATCAAAAAACGATATGACATAAGTGCTGTTCAGCAACAAAAAAAAATCAAATCTTAGGCCTTGTTGGTTTTTAAACATCCATACAACACAACTTTGAACATCCTTTGTCTCTTGTCACAAACACAGTCCTGAACCTCAGAAACATTCTTTGAGCAGGAAGGTGACGCTGGAGATCAACAAATGTTTTTATTTTGGTGGCAAGATTGGCATTGATCCAAATCAATCATGACACTTCTAAATGACAGTTAAATCCTATTGAGAATATCTTGTTGAAAATAAATGAAAATATTTTTTTATCGCAATGTAACAATCTATCAAATCATGCTATCGTATCGACATGCTAACTTTATTTATTATTTAAAGATTTTCACAAAAAAGAATCAGAAGAGAGATAAATCAACTTCATTTGAATTATACGGTATGCATTTCTTTCAAATTAACAACTTTTGTTTTGGAGGATTTATAAACCAAAAGATAACGACATCCCAGAGACAAATCACAGTATATGTTTTTGTATATACATACTTTATATATTTTTTAATAGAAACACTTTAAAAAACAGTGGCTTTGCTTGGACAAACACTACTTCTACAATAACTATTCCTTCAAACGGTTTTATTCTTTAGCATTCTGCAATATTTTGAGAGCAACGTGATGTCTATAAAGGAGTTGCTGTCTTTAACAGTAATAGATTAGAAAACCGAATTACCTGATGGAACGTAGAGAATCAACCTTTTCAGTGTCTTAATGTATACATTATATATTTGTGTTTTCTTCCTTAAAAACCTTTACCAGGCCTCTGATTACATTTCTTACGCGTTTTTGAAGCGACACTGCTTGTATGTCAAATTTACCACCAATGTTATGCATCAATTAGTTTTTCCTCTTTAAAAAGGAAGGTCAGCACAATTGTCTTTAAACCTCATAAAGTTTAATGGCCCTTACACCATAATAATAAACAGATTGAAGACGGGAGGGGGAACTTAAGGGAGCAGTGTTGCCGTCTGATTTACTGAGATAAAATGATAATTTCCCTGCTGCTTACCATCCCCCCTCCACACATTACTGCAGATCCCCCACAGCTCAGTGGTCTTCAAAAGTCTTCATGAGAAAGTTGTCCCTGTACAGCTTTTACACCTCCCAGCCCCCCCCNCCCCCCCTTCCTCTTCTCCTCTCCCATAATTCCCCTTATTGTCATGCTAATTTCCTCCATCATGCGTGACCAAAACGGTCAACTTAATTGATGAAGAAGAGATCTCCAAGAGGGGGTTTGCATATATCAGACATGAAGGATTTAACTCACTGAAGACTTGAGGAATACATTAGGACACTTGAAGACACTTGAAGAAGACTTTCCGTGGGTTGGCAGCTCTCATGTAATGTGCTTCAGATTGTTTGGCATGACTCAAAATCCACAAGTACCAACTCACAGCGGTTTGATCCATCAGTAACATCAACAGTACTCTTAATCTTGATCTGTATTATAGAAGAAGGACCTGTAACTGTGGTCACACTCGTTTCATTTCTGTTGCACCTGCAGTCTGAGGCATGTGTTCCCATTCAATGAGCCATACGAGACTCTCTTTTTGGATATTTTCACATATTCCCTTCTGGAAGAAATTCATAGTTTTGCACTTGGCTATACAAACAAAATGTGAGAGAAAAAGAGACGGTGTGAAATAGGTGTGAATGTTGGACCCCCGTCTCCCAATCTGACGTTGGTGTGGGTGGAGAGGATCTGAACAAAGCTATTTGAGCATCCGACAAACACTTGTGATGGAGAATTCTGGCATACTTAGGGGCATCAAAACAAAGACATTGAAAGTTGAACAAAATGGCCGTGGTGTTTGGACAATAAGTATCTACTTTATGTCAAATTATGATGATGATTATGGAGTCTTAGTGAGCAGTTTCATGGCAAGATTATGAGTAAATATTCGACCATTTGCAACAGTAAACATAAATTGCTAAACCCCAGAAATGCTCCTTGAGCAAAGTGACTACATATCGCTCGGAGCACAGACTGCTTATCATTTTCATTTTCTCATATAAAACAATAATTTGTACTGCCTTTTATCATTAACAAAGACTGTTTTTGAAATATGTGTGTGTGTGTGTGTGTGTGTGTGTGTGTGTGTGTGTGTGTGTGTGTGTGTGTGTGTGTGTGTGTACTAATTTAAATATATCATATTTTAGTGGATGAGATAAAAACCCTTGAATACTTGAATTCATTTTAATTTACAATTATATTACATTTTCAATCACAATGTTTTTTTGCAGGGTTATGTTACTTGCCTTCAATAACGCTGCAACATTGGTAGTACCGGTAGTTGTTAGAAAAAATAAATGTAGTTTACATAAATAACTTTAAAAGATGCCACACAACAATGACAGAAATAACATCTTATCTGTATTATTCACATAATGGCATATAGTAACATAAAAGGGCATTATAAAGACAAGTTTTGGAAAATACATTGATACACTTATGATGAAAAGATTTAACTTGTGGTGCTCACAATACTGACATGACATGACTCAACTCCCAGAGTTGTCCGGCCAGAATCTTTGCCCAGCAAAACGTCTGTCAATAAAAACGTACCGTGTGTTTGTTGTTTGAATAAGCTGGCCTTTACTCTACAGCAAATCTGACATTTGTCTCAGAAGATGCAAATATGACTTCAGCCTGGTTATTTGCTATTTGTTATGGAAAAAAGACGCAGACTGGAAGTTGTGTCCACATTCTGCCTAAAGCGACATTTAAAAAAAAGAATTGTTTGATTTGTCGGACAAAAAAACAAATTCAAAAGAAATGTACCCAAAAATATAAGATAGGATCAAATCTCCACAGTTTACAACCCAGAGCCACAGATTATACCTTCATCGCTTTAAAAATTACTTAAGCGATTAATGGATTATTTAAATATGTATCGATTAGGGGATGAGTCAACTTTTTTTCTTTCTAATTTCATGGCTAGTACTGCACATGAAGTTAAAATATAAAAAAAATGAATCACACAAATAAATGATAACCAAAATGGATAACAGTTTGTTCAAAGTCCAATTCTCCACCGCCTTTTGTCTGATTGATATGATCTCTCTACTGTGGGAAAAGGCTCAGGGAAAGTGGACGTCTGATGACTGAAGCTGAAGTGAAGATTTGAGTGGCTGAGCTGGCTAAGTATTGTCAGTTATGTGTCGTCAACCTGTCTTGAGACGCCTCAAAAAACAACCAATTCTCTCCCTGACCGCTGGGTGTCTAAACTCCAGTGACCGTGTCTTTGCTTTGCATGCTCACTGTGCACGTAGACCATCACTCAGTGTGTGTGTGGTATGTGTGTGTGTCTGTGTGTGGTTTTGGGTGACCCTCTACTTGGCATTCCAGCCATTCCCCTGGTACCTGGGAACTCGTCTGTTCTCCTCCTGCGATGGTATTTTTAGGTCCTGAGAAGCAGCTGTGTGTCTCTGTCTGCTCAGACAGCCCGGCCGTCTGTTGACTCAGAAATGTGAGGCTCAAGAAACGACACGGTGTATTAGTAGCAGTGCTGCATCATTCAGGCTCTTTTAAGGATCATGAAGATTGAAGTGAACACAGGTGTATGTTTGTGTGATTATGATGATGATGGGGTGTGAGGTGTCGTATTAAATGTGTTAAATCTGCTTTGCTGCAAAGTAGGTAACTTTTCTCTGAATAAAAACCCAACGCTGTGGTTTTTTCTCATTGCTCAACAAATGTAGAGCAAACCGGGAGTTAATTTCCCGAGCAGCAGCATGTGCAGTAATTGAACCTTGTCAGCAAAAAAACAAAAAAATGTTGTATTGGGGTTCATTAAAGCCGTTATTAAAAGCAATCGTGGCCGCAGCTAACAGTTCTTTTCATCATCAATGTATTACGTTTATTATTTTTCTAAAATAATCTAATAATTGGGTGATCTTTAAAATGCCCGGAATATTGGGAAAAATGTCCATCCCAGTTCCTGAAAGACCAAGTGATGTCCGTGAATGATAAGTTAAAAAATTCAAAGATACCCAAATGCTCTAAGTCAAATGCTCTTATGAATGGAAGAAGAGACACAATTGGTCCCTTTTTAGTTTTGTGATGTTTATCACAACAACACTTTTTAATATTAGCATGGATACAAAGTGATCATGTTGACACAGTACTGAATAAATACTATGGATAACTCCACCATTGGAAATCTTTCTTAATGTTTAAATCAGTCGTACATGACCAGCGTCAATTTATAAACAAATGTTGTACTTTTGTAGAAATACTAATGAGAACAATGTACTGTTGTAATCGTAAAGGCCATCTTTTTGTCCGTTTTTTAAGGGTTCCTACATAGATGCACTTTCTTCTTCCAACCATTTTTCCACTTGACAATGTCTCTGTTTGTGTTATTTTGTCTTTCAACGCAAGGCGCTGCGAGGCAGAGATCTGAGGCTGAACGGACACCAGTCTCTTTAATTTTCTAATGTTGGTCTGATGTTCCTCGTGTGGGTGCTAACAGACGGTGTGTTTGTTTTCTTTCTATCTTGGCAGGGGGAGAAAAATGCCGGCTTTGACGTGCTCTACCACAACATGAAGCACGGCCAGCTGGCAACCAAGGAGCTTGCCGACTTTGTCCGTGAGGGGTATGTTTTTGTGTATTTGTGAATATGCGTGTGGGAGGTGGTGTTAGTGACGGGGCTCGGGTGGAGAAATTCTTCCTTCTTGACTCTGTACTTGAAAGGAAAGATGAGGGACTGTGCAAATGTTGGGAGAAATACAGAGATTAAATGTATTTTGGAGAAACTTGAACAAGTCGTTCTTTGTGAAAAACAAACCACTTCAATCGTCCCTCTGCGCTCTGACCTCTGACCCCTGTCCTCACTACTGTGCTACTTTTGAAGAGCACTATCTCTCAAACACTGACACATTCAAGCCTTACAGGTTGGATTATCTGCCAGCTTCAGAGGTTTATTTTCTATTTTCCATTGCAACTAATCATGTTGATCAGTCCCCAAATTAAAAACATGGCCTTTTTTACTTTAAGGTTTAACAGTAAAACAGAGGGCTTGGAGAAAACAACCAACAACTTTTTTTATCTTTTTTATTTCTACTTGTGTGCAATGCCTTGTTTTGTTTTTTATGCTGCTGCGATACAAAAATGTCCCAATTTGGGATCAATAAAGTACCTCTTATCCTCTTATCCTTAAAATAGCCAATTTACTAGCTCTGTAAATCAAACCAATATGGATAGAAATAAAAATGGTCTAGAAATACATCATAAATATGTCAATCCTTACATTTTGCTGTTAGCTTTTGCCCCAGTTTTTAGTGTGACATCATGTATGCTGCCTCAGGTGCATACTACAGACGCTTTTACAATACTTTTAAAAGAGTTGCCTGCAGACTCTTAAAAGTCATACGTACACATATTTTGAAAGTAACACATTAAGCTTACATTAGCTGAGTTAGCTGGGCTTGCTATCTGAGAAATCTGCTGGCAAGAACCCATTGTTTTAAAAATCACTAAGAGTTTCAAGTTATAATCTGCCACTGTTATCATTATATAATGCTGAGCGAGAACTGACAACTCAACCAGCAATACCTACGGGGGGGGGGGGCAGTCAATCTACTAATTAAACTGGTCCCCTCAAAGTGGGTAATTTGTTAAATAAAGTACTCTGTCCTCTAATTAGGAAGTTATCAGTGAGTGAATTGAGGGTCGTAATGAGCTTCCCACAGGAGTTTGTGGAAGCTAACAGACTGCTCTATGAGACCAGGGGAATGATCCTGACCCTGATTCAGAGCGCCTGCTCACATTCCTCGCCTTGAAATTCACTTATCTGCTCGGACAGCAGAAGACAACAAATCACCAGTGAGGAAATGAAGTAGGGCCAGTGTACTGCGTTATCCCACAGGACGGAGGAAAGGCAATTGTTTTGATACATTCCCTCCATCTTTCTCTTTCACCACTTGTCTTACAGGTCATTTTGATATAGGACACCATATGAAACACTCAGCTAAAGTACCACAACGAGGGCAACCACATTGTCAAGGCTTCACATGTACTGCATGTTATATAGACTACATTCACTCTGGTATTATGTTTATTTATAAGGTTTTGCTGCTTCTTGATGGGGGGGACCAATAATGTTCGGTGCACAATAGACATGAGGCTCCAAGTAATGTTGAAACAATTATATTTATCAATCAGTGCTCCAAAACTAAATAAATCGTTAACTACAGTATCATGATAATCGATGAATTATTCTAGTTACAGCTTTTGTCTTCCTTTTTAATAATACATTTGTTCTATTTTCAGACAATTTCTAATGAATAAATAAAGGTAATATATCTACTTGTTAGTTGCAGACCTAAATCAATGAATGGGTCAATGGTGTTGTACCAATAGACCAGTTTAATAACAGATAATGATACTTATCTTAATAAAATCAGCGTGTAGTAAGGTTTTTATCACAGATCAAACTAACTGATCATCTGATTGAGATCACAGCTTTGTCTTTTTAATCCTGCAATTAAAAGATAACTGATTTCTGTCTCACGGGAGCTGCAAGAATAAGTTGTGACCACAGCTTTAGGGTATCGTGTGTTGTGTTTCATTTTGAGTCTTACTTGTCTTGTCAAATTGTCACTCTCTTTTAGCTCTGTTTTTGATCTCTTCCAACTCTTAAGTTACATATTACAATATACTTATTACATACCATATTTAATTTAGTCTTCATTTACATTATTTCATTTCATATTCTGTCCTTGTACATATCCCATATTCATGTATATAGACTTTTTGCACTACTTTTTAATTTTGTATTTTTGTATTTATGTTGGATTGTTGGAAGAGCTCAGGTCATAAGATATTCATTGCCATTTCTACACTGTAGCTGCTGAGCATATGACAATAAAACCTTTGAATCGAATTGAATTTGAATATCTTGCTCTTTAGCTGCTAAATAATCTACTGTGTTCACCAGCTGTTCTCTAACAGAACAGGAAGTGTGCAGTTTCTAGAGCCACAGGTTAAAGTGATAACATTTGCAACAGTTGCTTTTAACACAATATTTACATATATATTACACATTTTAAGTTAGTGTGCAGGTGTTCCTTTCTATATGGACAAATAAAGAATGTATTTACCTGTTTTGATAAGCAACCTGGTCCAACTTGAGTTTCTAACACAATGTCTGCATCCCTAGATCTATAGTCTGTTTGTTTGTGAATCTCAGGAGCAGGTTGTTGTGATCACCCTCAGGATATTTGGATCAATGCTGCTTCCTTCTTTCTCCTCAGGGTCTACATATGGTTATTACATTCTGTGAAGATAGACTATATTGTCATTGTGTGCCCTTCACTTTCAAAACAAGTCCATTCATCATTTAGATGTGGCTTATTACAACATTTACCCAACTCTGATGGAAATGATTCTTCATCTGGCTGCCTCTTATTGTGGCTGCCCAGAGCTTGGGCCGAACGAAGCTCTAGATAACAGTATAATATATGAGGCCATTAGCAGAGTGAGGAAGTGCTATTTGAGTACATTACTTTCACCAGACTAAAAGGTATTTAGAAGAGTTTAAATCTTAAAGAATACACAAAACATTACTCTTCCTGTCGTGTTACCTGCAATTCTAGTACAGATACACAAAAACATAAAAGCACAGACACACACAAATGGAAACATACAGGTTTTATATAAAAGCTATTGTACCAGTTTCTCCTCTAATAATAATCTGTGTGTTTGTTATTGCAGTACTGCTATTGAGGAGACTTATTCCAAATCTATGAGCAAACTGGCCAAGATGGCCGGCAACGGAAGTCCACTGGGGTGAGTAACACTTTAAAAACTCAATGCATATTCATGCAATTCCTTCAATGCAACTCATCCTTATCCCCTACGGTTAAATTCATACTGTTGGAAAGTGTTCGTTACTGTAATTATACATTTAATGGTCATATGGCTGCATATGAGATATGAATGAGTACCATCTGCATCACCAAATGTTCATACTGTGAAATAATGCCCTCTCCACTATTTAGACTATATGGTTTCATACATACAGTATGTTTTCTATTTTACGACAGGTTTCCTTATACAAAGTCGATGTATATATCTAGTACCGAGTATTTGGATTAAACAACAAATAGAGCCAACTAATTTATTAAAAGGTGATGGCATATAAACCATCAAAGAGCACATTTAGACATCAAAGGCTGATTAATTAATTAAACTGCTCCTGGCTGAATGACGAGAGTCCTGCATAAACACAAACATGTTTTTGACAGCTCAATATGAACGTTTTTGGTAATCGTACTGGAATTAAAATTCAGTTTCAGTGCTCAGTCCACACCCCTCACAATACCGATAAAGAAAACTTTTTAAATGTTAAAACTCTTAATAAATCACACCTCATGAATTTTCCTCCTACTAAATTGGACTCGAAATGTCTTCGCAAATTGCTCAATTTTGATCAAAATAGGCTTAATCGAATTGTTTTTTTTCCTGTTGAAACATTTGTTTTCTAAGTCATGTTGTATGACCGCGTGCAGTTGTAGTTGTATCATAATGTTGAAACATTTGTATTGTATGAGCAAAAATACATGTAAGGATACTTCTGATTGAGGGAAGCAGTTCTCTTGTAACCAGAGGCACTTAATCTTAAAGGTGACCTATCATGTAAAATGCACTTTTGTACGTCTTTTATACATGAATATGTGTCCCCGGTGTTCCAGGGAACTCACCAAGTGTCAGAAAACACAACCCTCTCTATTTTCCTCCATACCCAAATCTCTAAAAAAAGGGGCTGCAACGGATCTGATACAGACTGATCCAGATTTGAACACTTCTGTGACGTCACAGAAGTGACGCTACGGCTATTGGGCCAACTCCACCAATCAGGAGGAGACAGCCACGGACATTGCCGTTCGAAAGCGCTGGAGACGCTGTAGTACATATGCCAGGCCTGTAGATGGTGCTGTTCTCACAGAATCAGCCCATGCAAAGACAGTGTTAAATTGAGCGAAATGAGGAATGGCTAAAATGCATGATCTGTTTGGTATTTTGAAAAATAAAAAGTATAAATATGCCTTATATAGGTATGGTCCTACACTATATTATTCAAATATAGCATGATAGGTCCACTTTAAATGAAGAGAGTTTTGACCTAGCAGTGTCATTGATGCTTCTGTACATTTTTCCTAGGACTTTTGCTCCCATGTGGGATGTGTTCAGGGTCTCTTCAGACAAACTGGCCCTCTGCCACCTCGAGCTGATGAAGAAGATGAATGATCTCATCCGGGACATCAACAAGTACGGAGATGAGCAGGTCAAAATTCACCGCAAGGTATGGGCCTGGGATAGCTTGACACTATCCTGAAAACTGGATGATTTTCTTCTTTGTGCCTGTGTGTGTTTCTGTGAAGATAGACTATATTTTGTCATTGTGTGCCCTTCATCGAGCCTCCCTCATCCTGATCTAATTAATCGAACAGAAAATCTCATTACCGTCTCCTCCCTTCACAGTAATTGCTGTATATTCCCAAAAGTACAATGATGATATGTACAGGATGTCCATTTGTTTTGTTTTGTGTGTGCGTGTGTGTGCCAACCAGACAAAGGAGGAGATGGTGGGGACAGTGGAGGCGGTGCAGGCGCTGCAGGTTCAGAGCGGCCACCTTCAGAAATCAAAGGAGGGTTACCACGCCAAGTGTTTGGAGCTGGACCGGCTCAGGAAGGAGGGAGCTCCACAGAAAGAACAGGAGAAAGTTAGCCATCACTCTATATTTTCAGATTTCTAACGGTATAGAAGTGTCCTTTAGAGGAAGGTTAAAGGGTTGGTTGAAAAAATAAAAATTATCTCACTAACTTGTGTCAAGAGACATGCAGTTATTTTGGGTTGTATTGGTTTAGGTCTTAAAAATAGCAGGCTCTGATTTTCCGCAACCTCCCGGTGCAATGAAAGTGATTTGAAAACAAGTTAACAGCAGCAACTCTAAGCCTGTGGCAGTTACACGGGATAATTATCAGACTTAAAAGTCTAAGAATAGAATTGTGAGGAATCACCATGCTTACTGTTCTTTATTTTGTGTTCAAATCAGCTAAAGGATGTGCCCAGATGAAGGAAAGCTGTTTTGCACTCTGTACTATAACAGTGTTTTGACGCTCAGGTGTGGTATCTTTAGTCTTTGTGAAGCAGCAAAAACAAGCACAAACATTTATCCTAATGCAGGAGTGTGAGTTAGTTTACTTTCAGTACTGAGAAATAGTCCCTACTAAATCTTTTGACTCTATTATATTGTAGTTTGGGTGGACCGATTCATTAAACAAAGTGAAAAAAATTCAGATTTTTGGCAGTAATTTAACATCGATCAGAGTATTAAGTGAGTATTCATTTCTCTTGTTGTACCGATGAAACTATGGGAAATAAATGTATATTAAATGTACCATTGGAGCCGTAGTTTGAGCACTCAAGGTTTATTTCAATCTGGCCTGTATTAGTGATTGCTGTTATTTGTTAGTGCAAGCTATGGCCCTGTTATAATTCAAATATTATTCAAAAAAGCCTTGACAAAAGTAGTTTGGCAAAACACTCCCAACTTAAGGTTCTCTTGTAAACTTTTCTGGTGCTCAGTCTACTTATGGTCCTCATTCGTAATAATAATCTATGTTATTGCTTTGGTATGCAAAACCATTTCACTACCAGTATAAGTGAGCTAGTCTTACATTTGATAATTAGAACATTAGGAGATGATGTGACATTGTGTGCATAGTCCAAAAGCTACTCCTCGTGTTCAGTGCATCGATTTTCCTCAGTAGGCTCTGGGACGTCGTGTTATTAGTGTCTGTCTTGTGACCCTAAATCCATCTTACCTTTGTTTTTTGTTTTCCAATTATGAGACAAAAGTTCCTGTTTTATGGCTGTCACTTGTTTTGTTTTTGATGTACAAACTGAATACTGAATGAAGTAGTTAAATGGTGAGGAAGAGATTGTTCTCAGTCACTCACTGAGCTTTTCAGTTTGATGTCAGGTCTGTGAATGAGACTCTTTAGCTAAAGGTTTTCCTCACCCTTTCCTTTCCTTCCTCACTAGGCGGAGCTGAAGTCTAAGAAAGCAGCTGAGTCATTCGGGCTGTGCATCGAAAAGTACAATCGCGTGGGAGGAGAGTTTGAGCAGAAGATGAGCGAGTCTTCGCAGGTCAGCTCTGACACCAGCTGGGCCGGGGGGGCCACTTTTTCTCTCTCTCCCCCCTGCTTTGGTGTTTTGATGTGTTTCTCCGTCTCTCAGGCTTTATCTCTCTTTATCTTCTGACTCACCCTCTCTGTAACCTCTCCCCAACACAAGAACTCCATCTTATCCTTTCATGTATTATCCTAAAATGCCTTCCCAAAAATGGAAACCTCAACCCCCGACTCCTAAACACCCACCCACCTGCACAACGTTCACATCCTGGCCCCCACTCATTACCTTTCATCACTGCCTCCACACTTCCATGGTTACTGCTGCCGTTTCCATGGAAATCCTTAACAAAACCCCAAATGTCTGTTTTACATTTGAAATGATGACTGAAATCCTTGTGAACAATTATCTCTGGAAATAGCTTTGAGGGGGAAGAGTCGGCCGTTAGCGTGAAGGTTTATGTGGTTCCCGCAAGATAACAAGTCAACAGATCAAAGTGGAAGAAAACCTAATTTATAACAAATAACTGAGTTTTTATCAACTAAAAACCTTCTTTTGTTTGGTTCATTCGGTCCAGAAACTCATTCACTGGACATATTGGCAACGTGGAACCACATAGGGAACTCAAATGCTGACTGAACACAAGTTATGCTTTAAGACTTAAACTACAGACCAGTCTGAAATATATCTGTTAAATTGGCCACTAGAGACCTGGCACATGGCAGATGGAAATAAAGTACCCTGCTGAAGGCTGAACTCAGTTGTGAGGAGTGGGAGGGGAATGTTTTATGTTCGCTCTCTACCCACTTAATTGGAGAAAATAAACTGGCAAAGCTCACTGTTCACAAACTCACTTCTCAAACAAAAGCCAATAGCACTATATCAAGGCAATTGCCCTGAACCAGACAGCGACAAATGAGCTGGCTGAATTAAAAGCAGGATCAAACCTAAATAGTAAATCCTCTCAAATGATCACTGGTTTACCGACCTGGCAACCCAGGCCCTCTCCTGCTGGCTGCCTCTGCAGCGGCTCCTGATGGAGCATATCTCCTTGGGAAGATCATTTCACTTATATGTCGAGGTTAGGGATTTGATTTTGTTTCTTCTCTTACTATACTATACCTCTCTCTAAGAGAAGTTAGAACCTTTCCTTTTTGGGTTTTTATCTGGAGACATAAACATAAATTTAAAAAAAAATGTGCCAACTCTCATTATAATAACAAAAAAGTTTGGTTTCTTTGTTTTTTTTTGTAAAGAAAATGTCTCAAATTAATCTTTTTAGAAATTAAGCCAAAACCGCTGGGTTTTAAAGTAGAAGTCAGTTAAGCTTTGATTTTATAGGGTTGGTCTTTGAAAGGATTTAATCAACAATGGATTATTAGGGTTTCACATTGTAACCACTTTTTCTTGTTTTTCTTATCTATGTGTGTGTTTGTAGAAGTTTCAGGAAATCGAGGAGGCCCACCTGCGACAGATGAAACAGCTGATCAAAGCTTACTCTCACTCCATAGAAGACACCCATGTTCAAGTGGGACAGGTATGTTCAACCTGAGCCTGTGGGCATCCAGTCAGACGAAGGTTGGCAAAAGGTGCCCCCTAAACCCCCTCTTTGTTTAATTTCTTAGTCTTGTGATGTACCATGATTATAATATTTGATAACATAAATAGAAGTATAGACTACTATTGCTGTTTGACATACCTGCAGACTTCACCAGATACATTTAAACAAAGGTCTGTCCTAAAGCATGTATGTATACTTTTTATTTTCTTACTTTTTTTAAATACATGGGATAGCATCCACCTGATCATGTTAGAATGTAGGACTAATGAGTAGCCATCATGTACCAGCATCACCTTCCTTTACTTTCCTCTAGTAACTTTTGCAGGAGTGTTTATTTAAAGCTCAGTGGGATAACAGGCACAGCAATGGCATTTGCAATTGTAGTTTTTTTCTTAATAATATTTACTTTAAATCTCATCATCACACAAGGTTTGAATAACCAAAACAATATTTTCATTGCACCATTGTTAATATTACAAGCTTGTTTTAGTACCAAATAAGAATAATTATTGTTCTGCTCTGTTACAGGTCCATGAGGAGTTCAAGCAGAATGTGGAAAACATCGGCATTGATAACCTTATCCAGAAATGTGCGGAGCAGAAGGGCACGGGCAAAGACAGGCCAGGTACAGTTCAGCTCACCAGCTGGCTCATTTCTAGTAGGAGTGAAATAAACAGTAAAACTTCCCCAGCTTACATAACAATTAAAATATGAAAACACCCACAATCAAAACAGCGTTGTGGAGATGGATTCATTCATAGTGAAAACACAACAGTGATTAAGTGTTTACGTGTGTTTGTTTGAATGTTTTTATCCTTGTCAAACTGCCTGTCTCCTGCAGCTCTGGTTAGTTTTGAGGAGTACATGACAGCTTTGGCCCCAGAAGGTGGGAAGAAGAGTCGAGCAAAAGCTTTCAGGATCCCCGGCCTCAGCAAGAGGGACAAGGAGCCGGACTCCACGTGAGTGTGCACAAACACAGAGAAACAAACGTGCTGTGCTCCACAGGCTCTGATCTTCTTGAAATGAATCTTAGTCTTCCTTTTTTAGCTGCTGCCTTCAGTCTGACTTCCTATTAAATGCTTGTATGTGTTGTGTTTGTATTTGCAGTGACTCCGCAGTGCCAGAGACACCAGTGAGTATCAGATATAACACACATCCACACACTGCAGCTCCAAAGCCACTCACTTAATTATCAGTCCCGTCCGACTCCTAAATCTGCAGTTCCCTGGAGAGTAATGTGATTTAGAGCGTGTGTGTGTGTGTGTGTGTGTGTGTGTGTGTGTGTGTGTGTGTGTGAAGAAAGTAGGCAGGAATCATGTGTGTGATAATTACGTGACTGATGGTGTAAGGTTTCCCAGGTTTATTCCGGTGCTTCTGAGAAGAGGTTTCTGAGATACTTGGCAGCCAAAGTGGAAGTGCGTAACTGCATATGACAGTGTGTGTGTGTGCTCTCATCTAACAGCCTGATGTGGAAAAGAGTAAACATCAGATCACAGAGTCATTGCTGCAGCTATTCGACTCTTCCAAGGGCATAATGTTTCTGAGTATAGTGTGACGCTCACTGGTAGTAAAAGCAGAGGTCACTTTAAAACATGTTGCATAAGAGTATACATGAAGCAACACAAGTCCATTCAGCTTCCAGATTTCACATTGTAATAGTTATTATTTAAAGAAAAAGTCTGAAAAATTACTTTTAATACTGTTAATGACTTATTTTATAATAACAATTCTCCCAGGAAACTAGCTCGTCTGCAGTCTTGAAATCATAATATTGTTTAAATCTTTCAAATGGGCGTTTAGAAAGACACGTTGACAGCCTGTATTACTCAAAGCTGCATTTATTGATTTCTGACCACTAGGGGCAGAATAACCATAACAAAATACTCCAACCAACACGATTGACATACTGTATGAACACCTTGTAAATGTGTTAATAGCAATGTCATGTATAAAGTCGTATTCCTGTTTATTAGATTAACATTCAATGATAAGAAAGTCAATTATATTCACATTTGTTTTTGGTTCGATAGTACCAACTCCTGAGCTAAGTATCCGTCTCTTTAGCAGCTAACTGCTACAATAGTTTAAGCAAGTAGTAACTTTGTCTCTCTGCTGTTCCTGGTAAACAGGATGGGTAGATTGAAATACTTTATTTTGCTGAAAACAGCTGCCTTTTTGCATTAATAGTGAACCAAAACCGTGAAGTTGTTTGTTCGACAACTTAATAATGAGCTGCCCCTCACAAAAAGCTCCGTGAAGCCGAGGGGAGCTGCTCAATCCGGGGCTAATTCTCTGTAGGCTCCTCACATCAAGCCCTTTTACGTTGTTTTTAAATCTTACAACATTTTAATATAAATATAAAGTACTGATGCCTTAAATCTAATGTGAGTCTTACTACTCTAATCCCAGAACTATTCTATTCTGTTAGTATTGTTCGTTGTGTTCATACATCGGATCTTCTATCACTTTTATCTGATAAAAAGTATATAAATGGGTACAGTTATACTTTACCTACTGCGATCTGTAGACTGAAATCTGATCTAATCAGACACCATCTGTATATGTTCACACTCAGTCTAAGAATAGCTGCTCTTACGTTGGCTGGATTGTAAATAAGGCCTCCCTCATGTCTTATTTTGAAGATCATGTGACCACAGCTGACATCTTTCCAGACATCTCGACCCTAAGAAATTGTTTCAAATTCAACTGAAAGCAGACCTGCAGCTGCTGTAATTACACTTGTAGGAGTGACCCACTGACTCACACCTTCAGCATTTTTAGGGTCTGTTGACCCTCTCACACTCTCACAGAAGGCTCTCAGTGGTACATGTAGGCAGCAGTTACACAGTATGACAAAGCACTTCTGTGTGTCCGATATGTGCCTGAAGTGCCATTTGTCTGCCTGTTGCTGACCCAGCTGGTGTCTGACCCCCTCTCTTTCTCGTGTGTGTGTGTGTGTGTGTGTGTGTGTGTGTGTGTGTGTGTGTGTGTGTGTGTAGAATTCACCCCTGGAAGTAGACGACGAGGGATTTGTCATCCGAGCTGACAGCACACACAATGATATCCTTTTTTCTGCTCACAGACAAGAATATTCATCATATCATATTAACACTTTTCAAAAACAAGGTTGCTCCTGGGCAAAGATTCACCAAGACACTGGAGTTTGTTAAATAAATGAATATCATTCTTAAAAAATAGATATGTTTGAACTACATTTTAGTCTCTTCTTTTTTCATCAAGAAAATTGCGGGTTGATATCGTCAGAGTTGGTTTTTTAATGATGTTGGTGCCATCTTGTAATCATCTAAGTCTTAGGAAAAAAAACTAAATATTTCCCTTTTTTCAATGAAATGAACACCACTATAAACAGGTTACATATTTGTGGTGAAATAAAAAAACAATGATGCTTGTACATGTTTAGAAAGAGCTGATTTATAATCCACGCATTGTTGCTGTTAGAATTTCACCATGAAAAATCTATCTGATAAAATACTTTTTATATCAGTGCTTTCTTCTTTTTCTAAAAACAACATGAGCTTACTTTCAATTCCCTTCTGTTTGAAACATATTTCAAAGTCCATAAAGCCATCTAAATGATTTCACAAACTTGAGTCCCTCACATGACGGAGGCAGTTTGCACCAAATAAAACCTTGTTATTCTGCTGAAGACTCTTAACAGACCCCTCACTAAGATGGAGGCGTTTATGTGTAGTGTGCAATCAGGAGGTCGGTGGGCGAGAGGCGGGTTCCGCCAATTTGTTCACGCAAGCGACCACGTTCACCGCCTCATTAAGTGCAGAGCTCTAGACAATTACAAAGGTCAACACTCTGTTTGTTGCAGCAAATCACTAAGTGCTCCCCCCTTGTTTAATACAGACAGGGAAACGCCTGCATGGGAAACGCATGAATTGTTCTCTTCCCTCCGGACCTGGTTCATTTATCAGTAGCAACCCTCAGCGCTCCAAAATACAGACTCTTACTGACTTCTCCCCTTCGGGGCCCCGCCTGCTCAGAACACATGGTTTTTGTTTGTCATACAGCCTCCTGCTGCATTATGCCCTTTGTCTGAATCTTCTAAATAACACGAGCCAAAAACACTTCACAGGATGTGATGCAACAGAGGGCAGTCCAGAGAAAGAGGAAGAGGGGGGTGAGTTTCGTTGGGGGAGATGGTGCAGCAGGAAGTGGCGGTTGGCAGGTGTGTGGCTCTGCAGTCTTCTCCTCCATCACACTCTGCAGAGCTTCTGCCTATACTTGTGTTTTGCATAATGTTCGTGTTGCACTGCACTCTGCTCGGCTGCCTGCTTCACCCTGATTTAATCAATCTCACAATGAACTTCGCTCTTGAAGGAAGTCACAGCTGTGTCCAAATATAAGTAGACAGTGGTATTAGTTATATTTTTTAGCAGAGTTCTCAGAGAGTAATCAATTCAGCTGAAGCCTTATTTACAGTATTTTACCATTTGTTAGGCTCTGCTTCTCTACAGAAAAAAAAACTCTTAATCTAAATGTCGGTACGAATTTAATTCATTTTTTGCTTTGCATTCTGTTTTGAAAATTGAGACAAAACAATCCTACACTGAAAAAACTGAACTGTTGACTTTAATTAAATGTATTATGTCAACTGTATTAGGTTAGTTGAAAGCAATAATATTAAGTTTAAATAACAAATACTAGGTTCAACTTAATAGTGTTGCTTTAAACTAACCTAATACAGTTGTGTGAAATCTGTTGACATAATACATTTAATTAAAGTCAATGTTTAATTTTGTCATTGTACAGTACAGTACAGTACAGTAACGTAAGCCAAAAAGGACCTTTCTTTGTGCCATAACTCTTGCATTTCTTGATTAGCTCTAGCCAATCAACATCAGTTCTCCCTCCCTGTTTACACCCTTGACCTTCCTCTCTCTGTACGCTGCTCTGAGGACAAGGGGAACAACTTTTACTCCAGTGACTCAGACTTCGATGACGAGGAACCCAAAAAGTTCCACATCCAGATCAGACCGGTCACCAGCAGCGGTCGCAGTAACACCGCCGCCACGGAGAAAGAGCTGAAGGCCACCGTGGGCTCGCTCACCCTGCCGCCCAACAGAGGCGCCCGGCAGCAGGTCGCGATAGTTTAGATGTTTCTGTCACGTTCTGTGTGTTTGTCAGGAGCCCTCTAAAGACTAGAACATTTTTCCCAAGATGCAGGAATCTTAAATTAAGTGAAGAATATTGTTAACGCAGCTTTCCCTTAATCACCTATTCCCTGAGCTAGACCCATTTCCTAAAAGAGTCTTGGATATAGCTAAGTATATTTATCTTACAAGAAACTATTAGAAACACGTCACTTTTCCACTGGGTGACGTGTTCCTTTATTACGATGAACATGAGAGCTGTAGATTATTTTATAGCTTTGCTGCTGTAGATACTCGTTAAATCCCCAAAAACACATTACTTCGCAGCGGGAAAAAATATTCCTTTTTGACAAGCTCACATCTTAAGTTTCCTGCTGTTTTAGGTTCAGACAGTACTGCAATTAATTCATTTATTGTTGTTTTGAGAATTTTAAAAGAAAAAGTATTTTTTTTAATAAACAGTTTAAGAACAATATAGCATAACACAATCCATTTCTTCTACATGAGTCCTCTGTATTGACCAAATATTTCCTCACTTTTGAATTTCAGGTGACAGTGAAGCGTCAACTCTCCAGTAAGTTCAATTAAATGTGTCCACATGTCTTTGTTTGTGGAGAAGTTTTCGTTGTTACTGTGCAAAAACATTCTAAGTCTAACATTGAAGTTATAACACAGACTTCTGAAAGCTAATGTTTCTCTGCAGGAAACTCAAGTACTGCAGGACTTCGCTCAGAAGAGGGCGAAGGTGCCTCCCACAGGGGTGAGTCGGATTTCAGTCTCTCATTTTTCTTTATCTATCAATTTTAACGATCTGTCAACCTTTTCTTACTATGTCTTTGTGTATAAACCTGAAGCAATGAGTACATTTTGTTTATTTACATTTTAATTAGGTAAAGAGACACTAGACAAATCAGAACTATACACATTGGATGAAAAGAATAACAACACAGGCCATAACCAACAAAAAACAATATAATACTATTGTGTGGACATAAAACCGTTTTTTAATATATATTCTGATGTTCTATTGACCAAAAGATTAACTGATTATCAATAACATCATTACAGATTTCAATGTAATTAAGAATAAACTAATTTTCAGACAGAACCACATCTGTAGGACTGAAATGAGTAGCAGCATCTCTCTACCTCCAGCCAGTTCAGCCCCATGTTGCCCTCTACACAGCACAGCCAGCCTCCATTAGTCACACCGGCTCTGCTCGTGCTCCACAGCGTGTTTTATCACAGAGACGATCGTTAGTGGCAGAAGGTTAGGCTGAAGGTTTCTCAGCAGCAGGGAGTCTCTCTATAAAGTCAGGAGGCAGCAGGATTAATGATTAGTTTCTGATTAAAGCGGGTCTCTGCAGCGGCCGCAGCTCAGTGAGACCTGGCTAATTGCTGGTATTTATCACAGAGGAGGTAATGACTGATGGGTTTTCCCCACGTCTCGTCCTATCTCAGTCGATGTCTGCCTCCCATCAGCGCTGTGACGAAGAACACTGCGCTTCTGATCAGTCCTGATGAGGGAGCGTGCTCTGCAGTCAGTCACTGTGTGTGTGTGTGTGTGTGTGTGTGTGTGTGTGTGTGTGTGTGTGTGTGTGTGTGTGTGTGTGTGTGTGTGTGTGTGTGTGTGTGTGTGTGTGTGTGTGTGTGTGTGTGTGTGTGTGGTGTAGTCGTGTCGTAGTCGTGTAGTGGTACGTACGTGTACGTACGTGTACGTAGTACGTACGTATGTGTGTGTGTGTGTGTGTGTGTGTGTGTGTGTGTGTGTGTGTGTGTGTGTGTGTGTGTGTGTGTGTGTGTGTGTGTGTGTGTGTGTGTGTGTGTGTGGTCTCGTTACAGATGGAGAGCAGGAAGGCCTCCGCAAGTCCACCTCCAGTCCGGATCACAACAGGTGAGAGGGCTCTGCTCTTCATATCTGTCAGAGGGGAGACTCATTTGGAGGTTCATTAACTTCATCCGTGGCCTCAACAGCTGCATGAAGCTCTTCAGATTTCCTTCTCACAGTCTTTCAACAATCACTCTCTTTTTATTGTATAATCTTTTAATTTCAATCTAAAATAAAAAAATATCAGACGACCCTTGCAAAAGATATATTATGTGGTCCAAAGCCTTAACATTGTACCTATATGTGTGTGTGGTCTTAATGTATTTTAATAACAGACTCTACTGTACAGGCGCATGAAACCTAGCTGCAAAAATGTAGCTCCCCCCCAGCTACGATAGCATTAGTAAATTACTGATAAGGTCTGACTTGAAGTAAGCAGTCCAGTTCATCCAAAAGCTCCCTCAATCCCTCCTCTGCCCTCTTTCGATTGTCTTCTTTGTTTCCTTTTTGTTTCTTTACCAGGCTGAGTTCTACACCGCTGAGTTCAGACAGTCTGTTCGGACCGCCGCTGGAATCTGCCTTCAAGTCCAAAAGCTTTGATGGTCGGGATCAACTCAGAGAGCAGAGCGCCTTCGGTGCCTCTGAATGTAAGAAACCTGTTAAATATATGAATATAAATATTGTATTTCACTTTAATACCATGTTGGTCCAAATAGAAGACAATCTATCATCAGCACTATGAATATGTAAATGTGAACTCCCTCAACACAACCCCGACTTTGATTTATTATTTGTTTTATTTCCTTTATTATTTTGTACTAAAAGTTACATTGATGACATTAATATGAGTCCTTTGTTTCCCTTTGGTATTTTTCTGACATGTGTTTACTTCTTTTGTTTCAGACGCTGCCTTCTCCTCCGACTCCTCCTCTCCAGAGAACGTTGAAGACTCCGGCCTGGACTCGCCTTCCCATCAGCCTCTTGGGCCCTCCCCAGAGCCGGTGGGCTGGGCGGCTTGGCCTCCTGTGTCCCAGAGTAAAGAGCCGACTCAAACCCTGGAGCGACCTGCAGACCCTTTCCTCTCTGCGTTCCGGGACCCCTCCCCAGGTCGCAGTCCTCGCCCTCAAGACGCCCCTGCCAGCGCCTGGTCCGTCGCCTCGTCTCGTCCCTCTCGGGCCCCCCGAGACAAGGACCCCTCCTCCATTCGGTTCCCTGCGTTCCCCCAGACCCTCCCCCTGCCTGAGGTGGAGTTGTCTGTGTGGAACTGTAAACACATCCCCGCCGAGGACCCCTTCCTCGCTGCGTTTGAGAGGAGCGTCACCCAGGAGACTGTGAACCTGTCTGACGCATGGTCGCGCCCACCGCCCCGCCCAGCGCAGGAGGGGAGGGGGCTGGAGGGGAGGGGGGTGGAGCTGCGAGGGGACTCATTCTCAAACGCCGACACCAAGACACTCCCTGCCCCTTCCTCCTCCTCTTCATCCTCCTCCAATCGTAAAAACAGAGACAGGAAACGGGACCAGAGCCTCCCGCCTCCCGTTACTTCTGATGACCCCTTTGCCATCACGATGATTGGCAGCCCGACGCACCAATCGACGCTGGCTGCTGCAGAGGCCGGGCTGATCCCTCCACACAGCAGCAGGGGGGGGGCTGGGGGGGGCTCCACCAACAACAGCAACAGGCTGGTACTCGATGTTAATTCAAGTTCTCTGCCTACGGCTCAGCCCAAGAAAGAGCTGATGCACTGGAACTCCGTCCACAACCCGTTCAGTGAGAGTGTCTCTGGAGGGCTGAGCGGCTCCAAAACACTGGAGGGAGGGAAAGGAGAGGGAGCAGGGGAAAGGAGGAAACATCGATCACCAGACAGCGAGCCACGCAGGAACGCCCCCCCACTCACCAGGCACTCAGGACCCCAGGAGGATCTGTGTTTCTCCACAGACAAAGATCAGGACTGCCTGGACCTGAACACTCAGATAACGTGCAGTATCATTCCACACAAGGGTACTAATTTCTTTTACACTATTATTGTTTGGCAGCATGTCGATCTTCACATCATTTCAGGATTAGAGTAGACACTTGGTGGTGTCAAAACTACGAAAACATTAGAATGGCATCCACAGTGCTTGTGCCATGGCCTCCACAAATGCAAAATCTTGCAGTGGAAACAAAAGTCAAACTTCATTTGTGTAATCCCCAGTGAGTCAGATACACTCAGAAATCCAATATGTTTTTCACTTGACCCATGCTTCGCGTTTATACCAAGTTTGAAGAAAATTCCGAGCAGGAGTTGTTCTGTTATCCTGCAGACCGACTAACATGCCAAGCTGAAATATGACCTCCATGGCACAGGCAATAAAAACAAGGTAAATACAAAAGTGAAATACTCAGCAATATAATTCAATGAAAGGAAAAGCAATCACAAGAGGTTCGAAGCTATGATTGAAGTGTACCAACAGGAAAGTAACTTATTATCTAAAATAGAGTTATTGCATTCAATCTCTACCTGTTTTTGGCAAAGCTCTGTACAAATGAGGTCCAATCCAACAGAGACATAGAGAGACAGAGACATGAAGATCAGGACGATGCTGCCTCACCTGACACTAACAACACAAGACTGCAGTGCACTCAATTCAATACACTTTGTGATATAATATAGTGCTTGATCTACCCTATACCACTATCTACCACACCCTTCTGAAACCAAACCTTCTTAAAGGAAGATACCTTTTCCTTAACAGTGAAAATCCTTTTTTTTTACGCAATACCTCAGTTTCATTTTGATTTCTAACAAAAGCACAACAGTCTTTTTAATTAGTCGACAAGAAGCTTGATCTCTCCATCAGGGCGCGCCTGCTCAGCTGTTTATAAAGGGCTTAGTCAGATAAACCTCTGTTTGTTGATTTTATAAGCAGCCATTTCTGATGTTAGAATGATGCATGTTTCCTGCCTGATGACAACAAATATGATCTATTTACCATGCTGCTTTTAGAGTGGGCACCAGATTAGTAAATTCATTAGTAAATCAAGTTTCAAACAAAAATTCACGTCAAATCATCTCAATTCAAACAAGACATCCCTCTTAAAGTAGCAGTGAAGCAGGATTGTTTTTGCTGTTCTTTTTCAACAGAGATGAACATATCATCATGACATCAGACACCAGCAGGATGCTAAATCCTAAATGAATCCAAAACAAATCAAATGTTGTTTTTGGTGCCAGCTGGTGTTGGCAGCGCGTCGTTCAGCTCGTCTCAGGCTGTTGTGAACACCACACCACTTGTAATGGTGTTTAACGTGTGATTTGAAAATTGGCTTTTTGTGACTTTGTGTGTGTGTGTGTAAGGGTCCAAGCTGAACTTCCGACAGGACAGTGAAGGGGTCTCAGCGGCCCCTCCTCGAGCGGCCCGGGCCAAGAGGACTTCAGGCCGGCTCAGCGGCTGTGAGAGAGTGAGATATTTATTCATATTCTCTTCATATAATGTTGTGGTTTCTTTATTACAACTTGACTTAATTACAAGACTCATTGAATTATAACTTTACCCCTTAAATTATGTTCATTCTCAACACAATTAGAGACATGACATGGCAGCAGAGGGCAAACTGAAACCTTACTGAGTCAAAAGAAAACAATACTCCTTATTCAATCCGACCAATACAATGATCTTCTGACCAAACTAATATGACATGATCATTTCTGCCAGTATAACGGCTGTTAAGGAACTTTGGACTCTAACCCCGATTTTTCAAGTGACATTTTTTGTCAACCGGCTCTGAAGGTCAATTGATTTTATTGTTTTTAATAATTTAGGACCTTTTCAAATTGTTTCACATTCCAATTTCTTGATATTTCTAAGAATTAAAGCTCATTGCTCTTTGGTGTAATTGATCAATTATACTATCATTATATCCGTGGCATAAATTGTCCTAAAATCCCAATATGATGATCAATCTGAATCACCCCTGGGTCAGTATTTGGTCTAACAAAAGTACTTATTGGGACAGGCCTAACCTAAATAGCCAATTGTTGTGTTTCAGTCGCGGTCTCTGTGCTCCTCCCCCCTGCCGGAGCCCAGCCCCTCCCTCACCTCCTCCTCCTCCTCCTCCAGCCCCAGTGAGTGGGGCCCTCAGGCCAGGGACATGGACTGGGGGAGTCAGAACCGAGCGCCCAGTCCTGCTCGGGTGGGACAGGCCTCCCCCCTGCCCTTCCAGCACCAGGACCTCCCTCAGAGACAGCGTAAGCCTCGAGTAAAGCTGCTCTACGCGACTGATGTCTGAAAGGAACAGCATGAGTTCTGTTTATGGGAGAAACAGCAAGACATTTACTTTAAGGAACTAAGTCAGAGTTTTAAAAAATAAGCTTATTCCCTTTCTTGACATTATGTAGCTTCAGCCAGGACGCCATTAGCCTAGCTTAGCATAAAGATAAGAGGCAGGGAGAATCAGCTAGCCTGTACGTCCTGAACTTCCTGGGGTACTTTGATTTGACGATTGAACTCTTTGTTTTTTGTACGACTCAAACAAACAAGATGTTACATGTTAGTAAATGAATGAAAAAGGTGTTGGCACGTGGATCTTTTTCTGGTTAAGGCGAGTTTTGCTGTTTTCCTCTGATCTTGTTTATGTATCTCCTAATTGAAGCTTAATATTAACTGTACAAACATCAGAGTGGTATTGAACCTCTTATCTAACTCTTAGCAACAAAGCCATGAAAAGCAATTACACAAATGTCAAATACTCCTTTTTAACGTGACTTATTCATGTAAAACTCACTATATTCAAGGCACTTGTCACATCTGTTCTCCGTAGTGCACCTGTCCCGAGGGCCCAGTCCCATTTCCCTCAGCACACAGGAGGCCTGGCCGGTGGCAGCAGCCATCACAGAATATATCAATGCCTACTTCAAAGGTGGACAGCACAACCGGTCAGTAAGAGGATACTTATTCAATGAAATGACAGAAAAGCCAATCTTAAACATTCACTGCACATAAAGGGGAACTCATGTTGTGTGAGTACAACTGCACATGTTAAAAAGCTGTTCCATCTGATGGCCTGTTTTGAGAAGTGATGTTACCGCCTCTTTAGCTGCTCCTCATCTTGGTTTGGGGCTAAAGGGTTTTAACTAGCATATCACACCCGAAATATCCAAACTCATATCAAACTTTTGCGATTGAGTCTACATTTTATTTGACCCTGTCTGTCCCTATATCGACAAAACTCTAATCTAACATTTTGTACTTTTTGCTAAAGAATTGAAGTCTGATGCTCAATTGAAAGAAAATGTATCAATTGGCTTTTAATGAGTTTGTTTGAGTCCCTTTTGAATGACATTTAAAATGCCAATGTCTGCTTGTTTAGAGAATCAGTTATTAAAGGGGATTCATTTGAATTCTGTTTGTGTGTTCCTTTCTCTCCCCAGCTGTCTGGTGAAGATCACAGGCGACCTGACCATGTCCTTCCCTGCTGGCATTACCAGGATTTTCTCTGCCAACCCCAACGTTCCTGTTCTCAGCTTCAGACTGGTCAACATCTCCAGGATCGATCACTTCCTGCCGAACCAGAAGCTGCTGTACAGGTCAGCGTCCTCCTGCCTGTTGAGACTCTGTTAGTGACTCTGTTAGTGAGTGTAATGAGACGCTCATCGTCCCTCTGTCTCTCCAGCGATCCGTCCCAGAGTGACCCGGACACCCGAGACTTCTGGTTCAACATGCAGGCTCTGCAACTGTACCTGCAGAGGGAGGCCGAGCTCAACCCGCAGGCCTCGTACTACAACGTCGGCCTGCTCAAGTATCAGGTCAGGACTTCAGATGCTCACCCTCCATTTACTCAGATGTTCTGCTTATATGTGCCATTTAATTCAAATGTCTCCCCATCAGTTCCACATCTTAAATGTACAATGGTGGTTATTAACTTCTGAATAATATCCTTATGATCTGAAAGAGGATGAAAATTGAAACCATTCAAGTTCATTTCAATGTCCAGGCTTTTGTTGTCATGTGTACACAGCTACAGTGTAGATATATCAATGAAGATCTTAGGTCACAGGCTCCTCCAACAGTGCAACACAATACAACAGATAAAATAGTTAAAATAGGGCAAGTAAATACAAATAGAATAGAATAGTACAAGGAGAGTCTATATACAAGTAATTGCTATATGATATATTCGATAAATAATTTGTAAGTTGCAAATAGATGAATGTTATGGATGTTCTTTCCAAAGTTCAGATGTTTAACAGTCTTATGTAAAGCTTCATTCACTATTTGTTTATCATTGGACACTGTATTCTCCTTATTTGTTGAAGTTGTTATATTTGTCACCTTTCTACTGTGCTCGGACTAGAGTTTTCTTTTTGTATTGGTTTGCAAATATCAGGATCACTAGATTTGGTTTTAGACCCCATTCCCTTAGTTGACTTGAGACTGACAATCTCCTTTGCCCCCCCAGGTGTCGTCCCAGGACCCGGGCCGGGCCCCGCTCCTGCTCTCTGCAGAGTGTCAGCGCAGCGGCACGGTGACCCGGGTCTCCCTGGACTACCACTGCTGCCCCGCCACGGCCCCCTCCACCCAGCTGGCTGCGGTCCAGGTGCTGCTGCCGCTAGACCACACCGCCACGGACCTGCAGTGCCAGCCCCCCGCCTCCTGGTGAGAGAGGGCAGGGGGTGACGCAGAGCTGTTATCTGTCAGGAGCATTAGCCCATTAGGGGTGTCTGTCCTGTAATTTACTTTATCAATATAATCAACAGAATTATCTGCAATGGAAAAATACAATTAGAAATTAACCATAAAATCATATTATATGAGCCACTCAACCAAGCAGCTTTATCAGTTACAGGTATTTTATTATTCATTTCAGGGCAATTATTTTCTTCGTCATTTATTCTTTTAATTTTTATTTAATAATCGCCTGTTTTATAAAATCAAAATGGTGTTAAAAAATTCCCACCAAGGTGATATTTTCATATGTGTGGTTTTGTTTGACTGTCCATGACCCCAAATAATTATTTTATTATAATATAAAAGAAAAATATAGCAAATCTTCCCAACTCAAACCAGTGAAACTTTGAAATTGTGTTTTTGTCTTTTATCATGTAAACTGGGAATGTATTCAACAACAAAAAAATAGATCTATTTTCTTCTCTAATAAGTGATCAAATACAAAAATAATACAATGAATAATTGATTAGAAAAACAATGTTGGTTGTGGCTCTAACACAAAAGATCACTGGTAGGACATGATTCATCTGAGGCTGCTGATGGACAGGAGAAAGGGCAGACTCAGGATCAGTTCAGGCCTCTCTGACTCTCTGCTCCTCTGCAGGAATGCTGAGGAACGACGGCTGCTGTGGAAACTCCCCAACCTCTCCCCGACCAATCACAGCAAAGGTCAGAGCTGCTCACTTTTTATATCTTTTATTGAACATTGAAGTTTACAAATAAAGTTCTAGAAGCAAGAAGAGAAAAATGTTTCTAGATGCACATACACAAAATACAACACACTCCATGACTTCTAATAGACCGACTGTTTTGTGTCTATCCTCAGCCAGCTTCTTAATAAAATGAGTGCCAGATTTTCTACTTTATTGCCTTCTTGTCAGGTTCACATCTCCACATTGTGTTTGACAAATGTAGAAATAAGAAATGAAATCTCTTCACTCTACATCCTGCTCTTTTCTAAAAGTCTGAAGCTTCTGACAGCAGCTTTAGCTTTTGAACGTGGCAGCTGCTCTGCTCCCCTGACGTCACGGCAAACGTTAACTGTTCCTTTCACTTTTTTTTATCAAATGGATTGTTGATCATCTTTCTTAACTATAATGTTGTACAGAGAAGAGACGGCGTATAAAATAATCTTTCAAGATGGTTGGGTCTTAAATGATATCAAACCTGATCTCAAGGTTTCCTTCACCTGCCTGCATCGTTGTATCAGACTCCAACATTTCTTGATTTATGATGACCTCGATGTGAAGCTGCCGGCTCAGAGACAGAGAAAAATAGTGATAGATGGGAAGTTAAAAACATTTATAGTAAGACTTCTCTGGTTTATGAGCCAACGACAAAGCACTGAAAGGTCACCATAGCTCTGCATGTTACTTCTGATAATACTCATTTCCTTATCACTGTTGAAAGTGCCGCTTTGCAGTCCGGAGTTGTCGAGTCGGTAACTGACTTGGAGAAGACATTTCTCAGCTTAATGTGATGGCTGAAAAGAAGAAGCTCAGTATTTCTTCCTTAAACACATCATTTATGACCTTGAGTGCTTGTGACATTTACAAAGAGGGCAACAGTTGAAAGGGCTAAATGTGCTGGAAAAAGAAAGACAGGACTGAGGACACGGATGTTTTCTTAAACAACATAAAGTCATCCTGTATTTTCCTCTGAGCTGTTGCTTCATTTTGTGTCAAGTGCACAAGGAGCTTATGACCATCATAATAATGAATGTTAATAATATTACAGACTCAAAATAATACAATTCTTGCATGTGATCTTCATCTTGCTGAAAAGTGGTGTTTCTCATGTTCCTGTCTCTCTCTGCCTGTGGGTGGTCCCCCAGGCTCAGGGACCCTGTGTGCCAGCTGGCAGTGCCTGGAGGCCCCCCGCGGCCCCCCACCCAGCCTGGCTGTTCAGTTCGTGGGCTCCGGGGCCTCGCTGGCGGGCCTGGACGTGGAGCTGGTGGGCAGCCGCTACCGCATGTCGCTGGTCAAGAAGAGATTCGCCACAGGTGACTGAACGCACGTTATTTATGAAAAACTATACAATGGCATTTTTTTTATTTGTGGGTTAAGGTTTTATTACATAGTACACGGTCACGTTTTATATTTATAATGACATACTATACCGACACTTTAACATGCTATGACATTTTTTATGAGGTACTATACCAAGATACTTTATATATTTACCTTTTTTATGCAATGACTTTTTCTATATGTATAATATTTTCCTGACATTTAATGAATACTACGCTGACATAAAGTCACTTCTACACTTGTTTAAAAATATTTGTGACCTATTGTACTAAAAATATTCTTTGTTACCTTTTGTTATTTTTTGTTATTGTACCATTACTTCTAAAGACATGAAAATAATCATTAGCTGTAGCACTAAAATCAGTTTGTAGTTTAGTAACTTGTCTGATACTAATCCATTTTTTAGCCTTTAATTGAAATAACTTTGAGTGACTAAAGTTGTTTTATATTTACAAGTTCCTATAACTTGAGCATATAAACACTGACATATTAAAAAAACGAAGACGTAAGGTATATGAAATATAAAAAGTCATGCAATTCATTAGGTAGCTTCCTGTAGCATAAGCAAGTTCACTTTAAGTGCTTAGTATACAGAACGTCTCCTCTGGGTCAATGCTCATCTCCTGCTGTTCCACAGGGAAGTACCTGGCCGGCTGCTCCTTGTGAGGATCCTCGCTGCGGATCAGAACTTTGCACTTTTTCAAAATCGAAGGCCAGAAAGAGATGACTGAAAACGGATCAGCCTTAAAGGACGATGTGCACTTTCTTCTGACGGTGTCCTGCTGTCTGAGGAGGACCAAGCCTTCTTCCCCTCTAACTTAAGTTGTGTGTGTGTGTTGTACTCAGTCGTCCTGCCTTTTTGTATTGAATCTCCTGTTCCCCGTTCTGAGACTGCAAACTGAGCTAAATGTCAGAACTCATCTTGAATTGTAGAAAAACATGTGAATAATAAGTTGCCATGGAAACTAGAATTTTAAATTATACTGTATGGAGGGAATCTCTGGAGTTTCCCTAGAGATCTTCTACCAAACCTTAGAAAATAAATGTTTGTAAATCAGCTGTTTGTTTCGAATAGAAGTTTTGTGATGTTGATGTTTGATAAAAAAATAAATGTGCTCAATCTTTTTTGGTTTACACCAATTTATTACACATTGTGACCAAGTACAAAATACAGCTGAACTATGCAGTTTATTACAGACAGTCATCTGTCCTTAGATAGTTAAAGTGTAGTCAAGAACAGGTTTAAAAATGCACAAAAATAAGGGTTCAGTATACTTGTAAGAAGAACCAAATCTAGTTCAATAAAAAATAATCCTCCGCCAAAAATCTAAAACAGCCTTACAAAACATTACAAAGTACACACAGAAATTACTTTTTCTCCAAAGCACTTAAAGGCAAATTACTGTGACAGGCACAAGTTACAAAAAGCCTTAATAAACTCAAGCTCAAGGATTCTCATCGCTACAACAAAATCATCCAAAGAGGGGAAATAAATCAACCAAAACCATTGAAACAAAGCTGATGTCAAAAAAGCTCATAAATAGAAATGTATCTCGTGACAGTTTAGTAGCGCAGTAACGCCGCAGATATAATTGATTTCATTACATTGACAAAACTGAGATTGGAAACAAGTTTATCACACACGCCATTCTAGTCAATTACACATCAAAGCGTTTTCTTTTGATTCAGTGTGAAGAGAGCGAGGCCGCAGAGCACACACAGATATATATATATATATTTATATAATTTATTATGGACAAACTCCCCAAATAACGCACGGTATTTCTCTATCTAATAAAAACAGAACATAAGACTTTAATCTGAGTAACAGCATGAGGTCAGTTTCTGAAGTGGGGGAGCGTGTGCAGAGATCCTCTTTCTGGGTAGGAGTTTTGGTTTTACAGGTCCGTCCTGTATTGATTTATCTTCTTTAGATAAAATGTACAACCACTTTTTTTTTTAAATCAGAAAATGAGGCTCATCGAGACAGATCGGATTCCAGTTTGGGTTTTAACATCCCTTATCCATCGAGTGGATCTCTCTGGGTTTCTTCCCTACTCTGCGGTGGGTGAGTGCCCCGCCACAGGTCTGCTGAACACATGAGTCCCTGAATGCATCCTCACAAAACACGCAGGAGCAATCACAGGATGAAACTATTTACATGAAAGGAGACGCAACAGTGGCTACATTTTTTTTACTTTTTTTTTGTATACTTGCTTCATGTCATCTGAGCCAAACAGCATAAAAATCTATTGAGGTAAACAAACCAACATCTTACACAGCCAAGGTAACACTGAGTTCCCTGCCTTCCTTACTACTGCGACACTACGAGGCCTACAGAGCCTGACTGGCCGAGCGGGGGGGGGAGGGGGGGTGGACGACTGAGGGAAGGTCCTTTGGGTCAGTAGGGTGTGTGTGTGTGTGTGTGTGTGTGCTGCGAGCTGCAGCAGAGGCAACAAGGATTATACACACCTAAATAATGTTAAAGGTGCTTTGAATGTCTGAGGTTTGGAGACGATACATTCATACTGCGGTAGAGGCACAGCTGAGGGACAGATAGACATCTGTAGTGGTGGTTTCAAGGTTAGCGATCTAAGGCACTCAAATGACACTATGGCACAGCTACTTAAGGTTAAAAAAGAGAGAGAAGGAGAATCACAAACACCACTGCGTAAAGTTACACATCCGATAAAAAGGTACTGCACAAAGTCATTCACAGTTGCAACAAAAACGGAAATAAAATCTGTGTTACACCCATGTGAGTACAAAAAACAAACAGAAAAGAAAAGGTGAGCTTCCGGGTAAAAAGACCACCGTTATTATAAACGCTAGTAAAGGGGGGGAGGGGGAGTGACATTGCTACTTTCTTCTTTATATACATTGCACACTAACTGCAGAAGTGCAGGGTGCTGCTGCGTCCCAAAGGGCCCCTAAAGGCCCCCCCCTCTCAGACAGAGATGCTGGTCCCTGTTATCTCAGTCCGGCCCCTCTGGACTCACATCTCCTGCAGAGGGTGGCTCAGCTCGATCCTCTCTCTCTTTACGGCCGGCTCAGTCGGCCCTCTGGACGCGTCAGCATCACTGCCCAGGTCACTCATCTCATCGGAGAAGGACGCGTCTAAGGACACAGGGAGGATAAGATCAGAGGAACTTTATTCATCCCAATATGGGAAATAAAATGTGTTGCGGCAGCATGAAACAAAACAAGGCATTGCGCATACTAACTAATTAAAAGAGTAGAAATAAACTATTCTAAAATATAAACATCTCAGAATAGAAATAGAAATAAACCAGCATTAGAGAGTAAGACAAATATACAAATGACCGTGAAGATAATAAAAAAAAATCTAGAATCTGTCTGACAAATAAAAACACTATGAAGGGCCAATTTTCTGTTAACACAATAGAAGCAGGATATTATTTACATCAAGTGTGCACAGAATGGAATATTCAATTAAATATAAATATAAGATGTACAGTGTGAATGTTATAGGTTAGTAGAAACAGTTTGTCATCAGCCATTGTAACAGCAATAACCCTTTAACTCGCGGTTCCTACTGAAGACAAAGGTCTTTGACCCTTTAATAATCCCAGCAGCAACAAAGGAATGTTGAGGCTCTACCCCAGAGTCCAGATGTATAATTACAGTTAAAGCAGACGTACAACAACCAGCAATTATTGTTCTCCATTTAGTAAAGTACTGTTACTACACATAAATAGGGATGGGTATCGTTAAGGTTTTAACGGTACTACTACTTTGATCGATACCGCTTATCGGTCCGGTCTTTTAACGGTACTTTTAAGGTGAACAAAACTAACATTGCTTTTTATTTAAATTAAATTCATAACATTTCACATCAAAAGAAACAACGTTTTAACAAATCGTATTAAATAATCTGATAACAGAACAGCTGAAGCTTTAACAAAATAAATAACTCAGTTACCTCTAATCATTAACCCATGTTTGTATAATTGAGTTAACTCCGTGTGTTGCTGCTAGCATACATAATACATGACGTGGAAAAGTTACTCGTGGATGGGGGGGGGGCTACAGAGCTACTAGAAAGACAGTCAACAACGGCGCATTCCTCCGTCTGAATGTGGAGCACTTTTGCTAAATGTTTAGACAAATTGCTCGTGTTACCGCCCTTACATGCTAAACTCTTACTGCTCTTTAGGCAACGAGCATCGATAAGGGTCAAGTTTAACCCATAGGTTTAACCGCACCAGGAAGCGCGTTCTCTCCGCCGTGTGTGTGTGTGTGTGTGTGTGTGTGTGTGTGTGTGTGTGTGTGTGTGTGTGTGTGTGTGTGTGTGTGTGTGTGTGTGTGTGTGTGTGTGTGTGTGTGTGTGTGTGTGTGTGTGTGTGTGTGTGTGTGTACTGTAGCAGCTGCGTGTGTAAACTGCCCCGCCCCCTCGCACACAGACGGGAGAGAGATCGAAGATACAAAAGATAATCATAGACGCATTTTGCAGTCTTTTGCATGTTAGAAACGGAGTTGGTGAAACTAAAACTGCAATATAATGTTTGTGTAGCAATAATACATATGATGTATTTTTTACATGTCTCCAGTACCGATAAAAAGACCGCTAACGTTGGAGCTTAACAGTACCACGGTCTTTAATAATTCAGCCCCGGGGCCCGTTTAATACCGGGGCTCGGTACCCATCCCTACACATAAATAATAGTAAATAATAAAGGCTTACCTTTTTCCATGAGTGATGGCATCATGGAGGTCAAGTCACTGAACTGGGATGAAACGGAACAAAACAACTGTTAAACCATATTGTTCATGGCCCTTTCAGTATTTATAGAGAAACATACGCTGCTTTAAATATCTTCTTTCCTACCTCTCCCATGACGGCTATAGGAGTCTCTCCGGTTGCCTGCGCCACACGGTGCTCCACCAGATAGAACATGTACTCGTCATAAAGCAGGCGGATCAGGTGGAAAGAGCCGAAACTCGCTGCACTCCGCAGGGTCAGGTCTCTGATCACCATGGAGCTGCAGGAGGAAAGGATGTTTCAATTCTGTGGTTTTTGATTCTGTTGTAAAGCCTGCCTCTCTCTCTCTCTCTCCTCCTACCTGTAGAAGGACCACTTGAGCAGGAACTGGCGTGCAGCCTTGGGGAAGCTGGGGCTGCCCTGGTGGGGCTTCAGGACCTGAGACACCACGTTGTCCAGCCAGGTGGCCCACTGGTCCAGAGAGCTCTGCTGCTGCAGCGTCACCTTGAAGTCCTGCTCCAGGCGCTGGACCACACTCTCGTCACACTGACACACCCATGAGGCCTGCTCCTGTTAGAGACAACAAGCACACCCCACCACAGTGAGCAAGAAGACACGGGAAATACAGAGAGTCCACAGGGCACCGTCTGTAGTCTAAACATGATGTCTTGATGATTGATAAACAGGGAAGACATGATACCTGGACGTTGGCGAAGTCCACCCGGTTCAGGTCGGAGAGCATCTGGTTGATCTGGGAGGTGTTCTGCAGCACGGCGCGGGCCGCCTGGGCCAGGTGGTTCAGACTGGTGTACCGCCTCAGGGTCTGGGCGAACGCACTGACCACCGCCACCTGCACCATGGAGACATGACACATCCTGAACTGTATCTCTCAAGGTTTTATGATGAAATGATGCCAGACTTTAATAAGCTTAGGTTTCTAGGGATTCTGTGATGAAGTTACTTTTTGTTTAAGGTTGCACTGAATAGTATGAAGCTTTCAATATTTTTTTTTAAATAAAGTTGTATTTGGGGTTCAAAAAACCATGTATTTAAAAAGAGATGGATGTAATCATTTCCAAAATGGTGCACTGTTTTAAATGTTTTGTCTAACTAAATATTCAGCTTCAATTCCAAAACATTTTCACTGTATTCAAAAATGATTTGCAGCACAAAGAGGAAGGCACATAAGTCTGTCTACTATCACTATGGAAAGTAACATCACAAAGCAGCCTCATGAGGTGATAACCGCTAACTGTTGAGGCTGTAGGAGTGAGGAAATGTGATGAACTAAATGACCCGCTGTAACTTTCTAGTTACCTTGGTGCGAATGATCTCCTGAGGGAAGTTGGTCATGGCGTTGGTCAGCCAGGTCTCCAGACTCTTGGCGAAGTTGCGGATGGCT